GAACAAGGTGCTTTTTAAGGTCCCTTCCAACTCAAACCACTCTTTGATTCTACGATTCTATGAATACCAAACCCACTTTTAATGAACTCAGTGGGCCTTTCCTGCTTGTTATAGTCAAGTAAAAATAAACAAGACACAAATAGTTTTCAGTTTCATTGGTGCCCCTGCTGTGCAGTGTTCTAGGCTTTTTTTGGGTGGAGATGGCCTCAGGGAGCACGGGATGTCTGGCTGATCTCCACAGGTTAGAACCACAACCTCCCCGAGAGCAGGGATAACCTTCAAACTTGTGTCAGGGCTATTGCCACAGCTGGAGGACATCCCTAATCATATAATCATGGAATCATTTAAGCTGGAAAAGCCCTCTGAGGTCATTGAGTCCAACCATCCTCCAAGCATTACCAGAGCCACCACTAATGCAAGTCCCCAAGTGCCACATCCACACATCTGTTAAACCCCTTTAGGGATGGGGACTGATGGCCCCCTGGACTCCCTGCCAAGTGCTGGCCACCCTCTGCAGGGTCCTGGCAGGGCTGTGTCACCGTGGGGAGGTGGGGGCCCCACGGGAGGTGTGAGCCCCAGTCCCACGGTGAGGTGTGACTCTGCAGCTGCCCGTGAGCAGCCATGCTCATGCACTGCTGTTTACTGGCCTCTTGAGTTATTCAAAGCTGTGAAACCACTTCCTCTGTGTGGGGCTGTTTGGAGGTTGGGTGCTCAGCAGTGTTTCTCTGAAGTGCAGGTCCTGTCCCCCATAACGCTGAGGGTTTTTCCACCCCAGATGGGTTTGTGTCCTTCAAAGGGGATATTGTCTGGCTGCCCCAGCTAGCACGGGCTGTGCCTGGCACCCTCATCCCCTGGGAGAGAGGGGAGGGCTCGGGGAGCTTTGGCGCTGCTCACTGATTGTGCCGCAGCTCCACAGCCTCTCCTGCATCCCTTCATGGCCCTGCAGCCTCCCCCTGTGGGACCCTGCATCTTTCCACAACCTCCATGGCTTCTCCTGCATCCCCTCACCATCTCCACAGCCACAGCATCCCCATCCCTCCATAGCCCCAGGCTTCCTGCATCCCATGGGAACCATGCAGGGGTGTGCAGCCACACGCTGGGACTTGGTGGGGTCAGTTTGTGAGTGAGATAGAGGGACCTGGGCTCAGTCAGGGATCACCTGAGGGACAGTCCTTTGACCCCCAGAGCACCTCACCTGTACCCCAGGAGAAGTCACCAGCATGTCCCAAATGGATCATCCCAGCCCCCAGAGCTTGCATTCACTTGTGGACCTACAGAAAGAGGAGAAAAAGCTACAGGAAGTAACAGGGAAGGAATAATAATCCTTCCTGTGCTCCAAGGTCCTTCAGTGCCAGGGCTGGGATAGTGTAGCCCCCACGGGTGAGCTGTGCCCCAGGGGAACGCTGACAAAGTCCCCCACCAGCAACCCATGGGCAAAGTTCCCCTGCCCTGGGTTCTTGGCTTTGTGACCTGTGTCTCCAGGCAAGGGCAGGATTTCAGGGGAACTCAGAGGCGTTTGAAAGCTTCTGGGCTAATCCTTGTCACTGTTTATGTCCCAGGGGTGAAGACTCAGCAGCCCCATAACAACATTTCCTACATGCTTCTCCTTTGAATAACTTTAGCTTTCTATTTCTACCCTGCCTGCCCCAAAACAAACCTCATACCCCAGTCGAGTGAGGCTAAAGTGGTAAAGAATGGCTTTTTTCCAGGAATAATAAAGGAACCTTGGGAGGGGTCAGCTAATAAACACTTAAACTGCAGGAACTGCAATAGCAGAGGGCTTTGGGATTTGCCAGAGAAGCGAAAACCAGTGGACAGAAGTAGAAAACCGAAACCAGAAACTGGAACCAGAGGTCCGCAGGGCGACTCGTTTGGGATCGCCGTGCAGAGCTCCAGGAGCGGCCGCCGGTGACTCAAAGCGAGAGCCCTGCGGGCAGGGAGGAGCTGTCCCCCTTGTCCCCCTTGTCCAGGAGGCTTCCCGGCATTCTGGGGGAAGCAGCGTTCCAGCTGACAAAGCAGCTCTGAGGGCACCCACTGGTGACATAACCAAGGGGCTGCAGCTGCAGCAGCTTTTTGCAGCACCTCCTCCTCCTCCTTCACCTCCTCACATTCAGTTATGCTTTCTTTCCTCACACTGACCATCTCAGAGCTTCCAGGTGAAAGACAGAGCTGCAGATCCCATCACAGCCACCACACCTCCCCACATCCCCTGTGCCCCATGCACATGATCAGCCTCATGGTTTGTGCCTTGCAGGCAGCAGCTGGGGAGCAGAAGGTGCGAAGTTCCCATGAGCAAAGCTGTCACCTGCTGGTGCCAGCCACAGGGTGCCTTTTGTCACTGCTGCATTCAGCGCTGGCATTTGTCACACTTGAATGTGAGTTACCAGAACAGAGGAACATAAAACTCCCACTGTTGGTTTCTGAATGAATTATTTCCGTGGCAAAAAGCCATAATTTGGTTTTTTTTTCAGCAGCAATTCAGCCACAAGCTGGAGCCACTTCTTGTTCTGGGCTGAGCTGATCAGACTTACCAAGGGAACAAAGAGCTGATCCTGCCAGACTTGCTTCTGGCAAAATCCACCACCTTCCCTTGTCAGGACTTACAGAGACTTTGCTCCCTGTAAAAGCACACCCTTGGACACTCTGGTGAGGTCTCTGCCCAGATGAGGATGTGCCACAGCCAGGGATGTAAGTCAGGACAAGACTATGAGGGAAAGAAGGAATGCAAAACAAACCCTCCCCATGGGATAAGTGTAGGAAGGGGCAGACCAGTCTAAGGAGCCTCCAAACTTCTCCTTTCAGTCCCTGCCAGGGACAAGCCAGCAGCTGAAGTACAGTGCCATTGCTGTCATTGACATTGCTCTCATGTGCATCTCCAGGGTAGCCAAACAGGGGGTTTAGGATTCTGAGAGAGAAAATCCAGGCTCAGGAACACAACCAGGGGGCCTGAGCAGCCTCTCTGCAGTGGAGGGATCTTTGACTGCGTGCCCAGAATGTGAGAGGACATCAGGAAGCCCAGGTCATCCCTCTTCCTGCTCCCCAAGGAGCTGCCCTCAGTTGGCCTGCTGAGGCTTGGTGTCTCCCACGTCAGGCAGGGTGTCCCCCACTTTCATCTCACCTCTTTAGCCAGAAAACCCATCTTCTACCCAAGGCATCTCTTGGAAGGAGTGGCTGAGGCTGGCAAAATGTCTCAGGTGTGGCAAACCCCTTCTACTAGTGAACTGCCTGCTCCCAGGTGAAGTCCTGCCCTTTGCAATGCCCGTGACTGCTGAGGGTAAAGTGGTGAAGGTGGATTAGTGAAACAGCAGTGAGAGAGGCTGAGAATGGGCTGGACACTGTGCTTGGAGGGTTGTGATCTCTTGCACAAAGTCCAGCTAGAGGCCAGTCAGCAACGGGGAAACCAGGGATCGATACTGGGTAGTCCTTAATATGTTGATGTCCTCGCTGATGGGACAAAGGTCACCCTCAGCGAGCTGGCAGGTGACACAAAGTTGGGAGGATGGCTTGTCACATTAGGGGGACATGCTGCCATTATAGAATAATGGAATGTACTGGGATCAAAGAGACCTTAAAACACCCCCAGGTCTGTCCCCCCTGCCATGGGCAAGGGCACCTTCCACTACCCCAGGCTGCTCCAAGCCCTGTTCAACTTGGCCTTGGACACTTCCAGGGAGGGGGCAGCCACAGCTTCCCCCTGAAAGCAAGGTGCTCCAGGGCCTGACTGCGCTCACAGAGAAGAATTTCTTGCTGATATTTAATTTGCCTTTTTTTTAGTTTAAAGCTGTTCCCCCTCGTCTTATCACTTTTGGCCTGTGTGAAATCCATGGAGACCTCATCAGGATGGAGAACCTCATGAAGCTCAAAAAGAAGTGCAAAGTCCTGACCCTGTGAAGGAACATCCCCAGGCACCAGTATATGGCAGTGCTGACCAGCTGGAAAGCAGTTTGACAAAAAAGGACCTGGAGCTCCTGGTGGACACCAGACCCTTGCCACCAAAATTCCATCAGGCTCTTGGGCTGCATGAGAAGGAACACTGACAGCAGGTTGAAGGAGGGGACCCTTCCCCTCTGCTCAGCATTGGTGAAGCTGTTCCTCAAGTGCTGGGTTCAGTTCTGAGCTCCCCAGGATTAGAGATGTATGGGCATACTGAGACAGTCCCACAAAGGGCCGTAGAGATGATGAAGAGATAAGAACATTTCTCCAGGGAGGAGATGCTGGTAGAGTTCAGGGTGGAGAGGGCTCAGAGGATTCTTACCAACGTTTGTGGAGCAAAGTAGATGCAGCCCAACTCTCAGTGGTGACCACTAACAGGACAAGAGGCAACAAGAAGTTCTATTTAAACACCAGATAAAACTTTATTGCACTCTGAAACAGGCTGTCCAGATAGGCTGTGAGAGTCTCACAGCCCACCTGGACATGGTCCTGGGCAGCATCTCCAGGGACTGGGCTGGATGAATTCCAGCCTCAGCTCCTTGCCAGCCCTGTGGGTGTGGGGAGGGCAGGCTGGGTGTTTTGGGTGGCACAGAGCCCTCAGTGCAGCTAGCCCTGAGCTCGGGGCAGCAGCTGAGCAGTCTCTGGCAAACATCCAGCACACAACAGCACGAGAGCACTTCTGTGCTCCCTGTTGGGGTTTTTTCCAGAGCTGCATAATCCTACACAAACATTGCCTTTCCCTACACAGTCTCATAGGGAAATCCCCCTCTGGAGTCCAGCGGGAGCATTGTCCTTTCTGTGGCCTGGCCACTTGGCACATTTTAGTTTCCTTTTGATTTGAATAAAGCAAAAATGAGTGCTGAGTCACTTGGCATTGTGAGGGACCATATTCCATTCTACCTCAGTTTTTTCTATTCCCTCTAATTCCCTTCAGCTACTTCACTTTCATGTCATCCTTTATCATCATCTTGGAATTTCCATTTCGGCTACTCCCAGCTGTCTCTAGGACTCCCTTTTAAAAGAGGGCTGAATCCAGCTGTTGCACACTGAGCTGCATCTTCCAGAGCTTTGGCTCCTGCTCTGACAGCCTCACCTGACGGAAAGATGAAGGTCTCTGCAGCTGGATTGGCTCTTCTCCTCATTTCAGCCTCCTTCTCCCAAACTTTCTGTGGCCCAGGTGAGTCCTGCTTTTTCATTTGTGAAGGGAGAACAGAGCTGAACCTTCCATATTGTTTCTCCATTGAGCTTCCATGACAGATAACTGGGAATTTATCAGCATTTGTGCCATTCTCCACTCTGCCCAGAGATCAGCGGCATGTAGGAGCCCTGGAATCAGAAAATCATCCATCCATCCATCCATCCATCCATCCATCCATCCATCCATCATCCTCCATGCATCCATCCACCCACCCATCCAACCTGGGCTCAAAGTACTTATTCCTGGTTAGAGCTGAGAGACTTCCACCTCTGCTCTGGGGCTGGAGGAGTTGGGGAGGTGAAGCTCGGAGCAATGGCAGAGTGAGAATCTCACAGTACCTTGATACTGCTTGGGGCATTGGACCAGATGGTCCCCAATGTCCATTTCAACCTTAATTATTCTCTACTTTCTCACTACCTTCCCTGCCAGCACAGGTCCCGGTGCTCACATTGTCTTCCTTTTCCTGTTCTAGCTGGACTCGACATCCCAATCTGCTGTGTCACATACAGCCGGCACAAACTCCCGTGGAAGCTCATCCAGCATCATTACATAACCAGCAGCAGCTGTCCTCGGCCGGCCGTCGTGTGAGTGCCAGCGCATGGGACAGGGCAGGGACAGCCATGGGGGGGTGGGTGAGTGACCAGCTCTACACAGCAAGGGGGGCTGTAGTAACAGAGCAGGGAGAGGGGAATACCGAGGAGAAAGGGCTCGCACAGGGATTGCTGGGGATGCTCGTGTGGGGATTCCCAGGGATGCTCCTGCAGGAGTGGAGGAAGAGTGTAGGGGAAGGGATGGGAGTGGGGAGCATCACAGCTGGCTGCTGCTTTCCACATCTGCACAGGGGAAAACTTCTTGCAATGCTCAGAGCTGGGATCCAGGCTCTCCTGGGAAGCAGGTGTGAGCAGAGATCTAACAGGTCCCCTCCCCGTTCCACAGGTTTGTCACAAAGGAAGGCCGCCAGGTCTGTGCCAATCCTGAAAACACTTGGGTCCAAAGCTACCTGAAAATTTTGGAGCAGAACTGAGCCATGCAGTGTGGCAGGAGTAGCTGCTGTCATGGACAAGTCACGTTATCCTGAGCTCCCTCCGTGGAGTGGGACCCTGGGACAACAGGAGCCACAGGAGCATCTGCAGGTGTCCCCAAGGGACTGCTGGAAGGGCACCTTGTGCTCAGGGCTGCTGCTCATCCTTGACTTGCACAGACCAGGCTTCAGCCTCATCCCTCTGCCCCATCCCTCTGTCCCATAGGTGCAGGCCCATGGGACTGCACCTTGGCTCTTGTATTATTTGAAGTTATTTAAGAAATGATCATATGGGGCAGTCAGTCCTTTTTTTTTGGTGGATGATGATATTATTTATGGGGGGGGTGACCCAATGTTGGATGACAGGAGACTCTGGTTTATACACGTCAGCTCTTCATTCTGGAGAATAAAGAATTTGGAGAAAACCTTTGCTTTTTCCCATTCACGTGCCTCTTTGTGGTGCTCACCACACACAGAACATCCCTCTGAGCCATCTGAGCCTCTGTAGGACACATGAAGATGGAAAATGGTTTCAGGCAAACCCATAAAGTTTCCATACTGCAGACTCAGAAACATCCTCCAAAACCTCATTCCCCCACAGCACACACCCCTCAGTCCCCACATCCTCTACAGAATTAGAAGTGTTTCTACCCACATGGGGGACTTTTACATTCATGACTCTGCTCTCCACACTCCCAGGCACGTCCCACACATTTGCTGCTCGCAGTCCCACACACCCCACATCAAACTGATCCTTGGGTGTGCGATGCCATGTTGAATCCAGCAGTGCTGGAGAGGGACAGCGACCCCATCTTTCATTCTGACCACCCCAATGGGGGTTGTTCCTCACTTTCCCACCTGTAGAACAAGGGGAGAGGTCCAGCTCTTGCTGTAGGGGTAAAACGACCAGCAGAAAACCTGCTGCAGTTGTTCTCAGGATGCAGCTTTCCATGGGAACATGAATAGGAAGGAGCAGGTCCCAAAGGCACAGTGCTGGGCACACCTTGTCCATGGAGATCATGCTCAAGGTTCTTTGACATCTGCACTCTGTGAAGAAATCCCAAAAGGATTTGGATTGTAAAGGAACTTAAAGCTCATCTCATTCCACCCCTGTTGTGGGCAGGGACACCTTCTACTGGACCCCTGTCCTGGCCTTGGACACTTCCAGGGCTGGGGCAGCCACAGCATCTTTGGGCAACCTGTGCCAGGGCCTCACCACCCTCACAGGAAGAATTTCTTCCCAATGTCAATTCTAAACTGACCTCCTTCAGTGTAATACCATTCCCTTTTGACCTACAGCAACAGGCCCTGCTAAAACTTTTGTTCCCATCTTTCTAGCTGTCCTGGATTGTCAAGCAAATTGTATTCTATTTGCCATCTGTATGGCTGTCATCTTCTGTTCAGTGGGCAGTTTTCCTTATCTCTTCCACAGCCACTCCTCCCTCCAGGGGACATCTGCTGATAACAAGCTATGGAATGTCACTGCATGACTGATAAGAACTACAGCATCCACTGGGTGATGCCCTGCCCAGAGGGAGGAGCCAAACATTCCTTCGAGGATATAATCTGAGATTCTGGAACACCAGCACTGCTTCTCCACTGGATTTCCCCGAGGAACAGCAGCTGCTTCTTCCACTGGATCTTCAGAGGAAGACTCCACCCTTTCTCCAGGACCCCTGCTCCAGCAGAACCACCCCTGATACTGCAGGAGGGCTGCAGCCACCATTCCAATTGGATGCTGCCAGCATCCTGACCAACAGGTTGTCAGGTTGTGTTCTGACTCTGTCAGTGTTGTTTTGATTTACTGCATTGTTTACTTTATCTTTTTATTTTCTTCCCTAGTAAAGAACTGTTATTCCTGTTCCTTTTTTTTTTTCTTTTTTTTTTTTTTTTTTTTTTTTTTTTTTTTTTGCCTGAGAGACCCCTTAATTTCAAATTTATACCAATTCAGAGGGAGGGGGTTTGCATTTTCCATTTTAGGGGGGGCTCCTGCCTTCCTTAGCAGACACCTGTCTTTCCAAACCAAGACACTTACATACCCCCTTCAAGTGCCCCCTCACCACAGTCCAGAGCTGGCCTAGCCTTGTCCATGTCCTGTTCTTCCTAAAGCAAAAAAAAAAAAAGCTTTCTCTTAGTGTTTATTTTTTTTTCCTCCGGCAGCTATAGGTCAGATTTGGCAACTCTGAGGCTGGGAAAGAATTTCTGTACTGTTTTGTGATTTCTCTCTAGTCTTGTGTTTTCTGGGCAGGAAAGCTGACTGTAGTCAAAAAGGTCATAAACACCAAGGAGCAGCATCCCAGCCAAGAGCAGCCCAGCCCAGCACCATTCTGTGTCCCAGGAGATGGTGCTGGGGCCATACATGGAGAGATGAAAATCTGCAGGGGGTGTATCCTGAGTGTGGCCACCTCACTGTGCTGTGAAACCGTGAAGCAGAGTGGTCGGTGGATGTGCAGGAGCAGGTGAAGATCCCAAGAATGGGGTGCTGGATGTCTCCTCTACCCCGAGGACATCCCAACCCTAAGTTTGGCACTGCAGAGGAACTACGGGAGCCCCACATTTTCCCTGCTCTGGGACTCCGAGCTGAGAGGTGATGGAGGTTGGATGTTTCGGGGGAAAGGAAGTGAGGGGAATACTGTGGTTTATCCCATGCCCAGGATGCAGGGACAGTCTGGTGAAACTGGATCATCCAGTGCTGCAGCTGCCTCCCCTCAGGACAGTCCCTGGCTGTGTGCCCAGGCACTTGTGGGAATTTCCCTCTCAAGCCTTTCTGGTTTCAGTTTCCAGTTGCTGGACATAAGGAACGTTTCCTTCCCTGCCTGCAGTGGCAGAAGGTGTCAGGAGATCAGAAGACCTTTATGGTTCCGTGGGCAAAACACTGGATAGCCTGGTTTTCTCTGGTCATTTTGAGAATATGAACTCTGTGGCTGTTCCCTCTCTCCCAGCTTCACTTGAAGAAGCCCTGGGAGGAGAGAGGCGCCATGGAGACCCTCAGTCCCAGTGTCCACATTTTCTCCCTGCTGGTCACTGCTCCTAACCCCATAATGAACATCCTGGCATGGCCTCTGGCTGCCACTCCTGGAGAACTGAAGGTTTGATCTTGGCCTCACACCTCAGCCTCTTCAATTTCTCTCTTTTCAACTTGCACTGGCCACTTCATCCAAGAATCCTTTCTCCTAAATCCACCCATTTATACATCCCATCACTGGTGCTACCCTGTGGAAAGTGGAGGCTGGATGGATCAGGCTAAGCACAAACATGGTCTGTATATCTGCCTAAGCCCTGATGGCAACTTGAAGGTCTCTCTGCTTGAGCCTTGTTTCTTTCCTTGTTTCTGCTTTTCTTTCCCAATCCTGCTCTCCTCCAGGTGAGTCCACCCGCCCAGAACCATAGAATCACTGAGGTGGAAAAGACCTCTGGGATGGTGGCTCCAACCATTCCCCCAGCACTGCCAAGACCACCCCTAACCCATGTCCCCAAGTGCCACATCCAAGCATCTGTTAAATGTCTCTAGGGAGGGACACTCCACCCCTGCCCTGGGAAGAGGTGATGATGAGCAAGGGGAGGTCAGGAGACAACCTGAGCCTCTGCAGACCTCTGTGGCACCAATGGGCCTTGGGGCAGTTTGTCTCACACTGGTTTTCTTGGCCCTAATAACCAGCTCTGACAGACACAGCCTGAATTGTTCGCATCCCCTGTAGAGCTACAGCAGGGAGGTGGGACCAGCAGTCTCGTTTTCTACCCACAAAGTTATCAGCCAGTTTTAAATGTCAACCACAGGGTGATAAAGTGCTTTGTTGGTTTTACTTTGTGCTTTTTTAAACAGAAGTCTTGTTTCCTGCCCCAGGAAGCTGCAGAACAACAGTGAATTGGTGCTTGTCTTGCAATAAACACTAACAGAGCATCCCAAGAGCTAAGCCTGGCTCAGGCTGCATTCCAGAGGAGCCTGCGCCAGGGATGTAGTCCTGGCCATCCCCCTTTTCTCTCACCACAGGGACACCCCTGAATCCCCACCCTGAGATTTCCAGGCATTCCTTTGCCAAATCTGCAGTGGCAAAGCCCCACTAGCTCCCAGCCTTGGCTATGATATGATGGGAGAAAGGGCTAGGAAAAAGTCCTGGCTCCCCATCAGCACAGGGACTGGGAGGTGCTGGGGCTGCTGTGGTGCTGAGATCAGGGAGGCCAAGCAGAAGGGAAGGCTTTTAGACCTAAGAAGGCTGGGGCATTTCCAGCTGAGAAGTTGGGGTTTTCCCCTACATCTCTGAAAATAGTTGTAGTGGGATCCCCATTTTCCAAACAGGAAGGGAACAACCAGTGATGACACAGAGAGAAAACAGCTTTATTCATTGGCACCAGCACAAAACAGCAGTTTGAGAATAAGGCTGAACACTGTGGCTCTCCAACAAGCATCCTGTAAGTAACTAGGGTACCACTTCTTCTCTAGGGACAGATCTTACTCACAGCATCTACTGCACCGTTACAAAATTCAGGGGGAAAACTCATCCTGGGCTTATAAAACAGCACTCAGACCTAATTCCAACCCACAGATAGCTCTGGGCTGAAATCCCCCTCCCATTCTAGCAGTGGAGGCACAAGGTGGGGCTCAATTTAGCCACATCACATAGCAGGGTACCCCAAGATGGGTCTGCAAGGCCAGGAGGTCTTCAGCATCACAGCTGCCCTAAGTGTAGCTGAATTATTGTGGATAAATGACACCTTTGCAAGGCAAAACAAACTTCCAGGGTCCCAAGGTGGCTCAGCAGGTCCTGGTGCTTGGCAGTAGCATTTCTAGGTCTGTGCCAAGCTCTCACAGGTGGTCTGGCAGAACTTCTCAGCTTCCAGTGTTCACTGCAGCTCCAGGCTGTTCACATATTCCTTCACCCACCTGGCAGCAGGGTTAGCACAGACCTCCCGCTTCTTCCTGGTCACAAACCTGGCAAGTTTGAGTTCAGGGTTACAGTTCCCAGGGGGAAAAGGGGCATGAGGGACTGGGGTCATGTTATTGGGTCACCTCCCACAAACCCTCAAGCACCCTGGAGCTGCAGAGTGTGCTAAAGCCCAGGGGGAGATTAGG